AGATGTGGTATTTGTAGCTGATGAAGTAGTATTTGCGAGTGGAGTTGTAGGTGGAGCTGTGGTATTAGTGGGTGAATATGTGGTCTCTATCACATAAGCTGTAGCTGGCAGAGTTGCAGATGTGGTTGTGGGGGGTGCACTTGGCTGCACAGCGGGACCTGTTAGCAGAAGTAACCATAAACAACAGAACCACCTGTTGGAACTCCAAACACAACTGAGATGATCAAGGAAGAATTCCACTTACCAACTGTCACAATGAGACATCGGAGCTCAGAGTGATACAGGCGGCTGCTTGAGCTGTAGGGTATGAGAAGAGGTGGCTTTATTATTCATCATCTGCTCTGGGATTTTTCTTTGAATTCACTTTAGAAATGCACACAAGTAAAAAAAGAATATTTTGGATGAATGGCGTTTCCTCTGCACTAAAAATGAAGAACACATAAAAAGTCATTCCTTTCATCTTGCATACTTTAGAGTCATACAGTCAACACATACAAAGATATTTTTGCAAATTTCCATAGTCATATTTGATTTCCGTTTTTACTGCGGCTCAAAAAACAGGAAGAAAAACAACACTGACAACGATGAAGGCATTTTTTTATGAATATTTCAACACTTGTCGTAAATGGAACTGACTTTGCCTGGATGACAAAACAGATGGGGTGGCTCTGTCCATCTTCCTGCTCAGAGGGCGTCCATGTCAAAGAGAAGTTTCCTGAGCCTAAGTCATTCTGGTTGACATTGTGCGGTCCACTGAAAAGAAGCTCAGAGATCCTTTAACAAATAGAGAAGCGGGAAAAGTTTTACTTGAAAACATGATCCAAACATTTTTTTTTATGGATGCACAAGGTCATATTTATGTTTTTAAATGTAAAAGAGGTATGTTTCATGCTTATGAATTCATTTTTTAAACTTAGTAAGCAGATTTTTTTATTCTTAGTATCTACTGAAAGTCTTCTTAAAATCTTGTCTACCAGAACCAGTCCTGCATGTAAACCCGCATCGCTGTCTGTTTAAGAGTGTTTTCATTTCACTTACACGGAGTTAGCTGCCTCTGCTCTGATGGGGATCTCCAGCACCTGATTGACGGGAATGTAGAGCTGAGCCCTGTTGGCTGGGGTTGGAGCCAAGAATTTAGGCAGAAAGTGTCCTTCCGTGCAAGACGGTGCGACAGGATCAACTGGCACAGTGGAGAGGAGCGACAAGGTTAGACAGACACTTACCCAGGATCAAAATGCTGAAGAGTGTGTAATTAGGTGGCTCACAACAACAGCTATTTTAAACATTACATGGGTAGAGTAAAACTGCCCCAAACGGCCGACAATCAGAAATGGACGATTTAAACTTTAAAGTGGGTCCAGGTGACCATCGAAACACAGGATCCTACCTTTCACAACAAACTGGATTGGTATCTTGCTGATGGCATCACTGGTACTTTTAACCACTTGTTCACCGTTTGTTTGAGTCAGGGTGATACTCTGTCTGGGAAAGTCTTCCATCATCAGCTGGACTGCATAAGGCCCCTCAGAGCTGCTGTTGGTCGGGCTAAATGACAGCTTACATGAGGACTGAAGGAGGAAATAAGATGGATACATGGTCAGAAGAAACAACCAAAATAGCTAGAAAGAGAATCAAACACTAAGAATACGAGTCTTCCTCAAACCAAGTAATAATTCAAAGTTGTTATGGACATTCTAGGGGGAAAAATACTGTCAGCGCATCTGGCAGTGCAATGATTTGCAAAGCTGAAAAATTACAGTACTGCAAGCTGTTGTTTTCTATCAATAAAGGAAAAATAAAGTCCATCTGTACCGTCTGTCAAAAAAAAAAAAAAAGTTCTCCATTTGTCCCATGGCATGAACAGCTGTAACTTACAGATGTGAGGCTGAGGACAGATGGTGGTGTGCAGGGGTCACACTCTGATCCGGCACCATTTCTGCACTTGACCACATCTCCATCAGGATCAAACGCCAACAAGTCAAAATCTCTTTGACAGTTTGACGGAACTCTGAGGAAAATATGGTTAAAAAAAAAGGTCCACTTAAATTACAATTATTACCATACAAAAGGGCCAATGTGCATTAATAAATATGTCAAAAACAGAATACAAAAGCACACAATTGTAGTCAAAAGGCAAATTTCGGTTGATAATTAAACTAAGCCGTCTTTAAGAGATTATCTTCTAAATACTGAAGGTTAAAAAGGTCTGTCAATAAAAGGTAAGTCTCATTAAAGTAGCTTATAGAACTAAAAAATTCTCTTGTTTGAAAAACTATAACACAACTCTTTTTCTTTGCAATCAACATCCATCCATGGTCTATAATGCTTATCATAAACATTTAACTCTGAAAAGTGCTGCTATTTTTCTCTCTTTTAGTAAAAAGGAAAGCACCCTCTCTTCACTTCTAAGCAACCAGGAAATGCAAAAAAAAATCCCCTGCTCCTTACCAGGTGCTAACAAAAAAAAAAAAAACCTTTGATAACTGGCAGGCCTTGTTTCTCTTTCTGTAGGCCTTTAACTCTCAGACTCAGCGAGCAGACTCTTTTCCTATCTGCACACTGTGTGGTGCTGCCATCTCTCAGCATGGGGTCGTCTAAACCCATGGTTCCATTGCATTGGTATTGGAAGCCGAGATTCATTATGTCACTTCCAGTTGCACACTTGAAAAAACCATGTTTGCCTAAAGGAGACGGAGTGAGACACGGGAGACCAGCAATACGGCCTTCCTTTCTGTTCTGTGGGGTGCCCAGGGAGCCCATGAACAAAGAAAGCATCACCTCGATCCGTCTTAGTCACTGAAAGGACTATCTACATTAGGCTCATGAGGGATTGTGCCTTTTCACTGCTGGACCAGCTCTACCTGCTCCACCAGCTCTCAGTCCTTTTGAACAGTGTCAGCACTGCGTGGATAAACAGGGTTGGAGGCTTGTTTGGATAAATATGACTTTCAAATGACCAAATCCTATTCTAAGCCGTTTCTGATGGCGTTAGGATACTCAACATATCTATCCGCCTCATCTGCCATCAACAAAAGACACTACAGCCTCAGAGCCTTTAGGGTGATGCACACCTGACACAAGCTATGGGTGGGCTTACCTTAGTGCTGGTAGAATGGTGGTCTGTGGGGATGTATTGGCCATGCCAGTGTCCGACCTGTTTCTCAGCTCAACCCCAGTCACAGCTTTCCAATTCTGAATACCATTGACAATATTATCTATCCAGTTGCCACCATCTAACCTGCAGGGGGATGTCAACAGGACATCTTTAAGAGTGAGGCAGACAGATTCAGGCTTAACTTAAGGTTCTGAAGTTTTAAAGCAGATCTTAAACATTTGATCCCTACAGCCCTTTTTAAGGGTAATTTGAAATGACCAAAAGTCCAAAAGTATCAAAAGCAGCGCTCACTGCATCTGAAATGGAGCATTGCTGGAATCGTTGGAAGATAGGAGAAGTCCTTCACGCTGACACCACTCTCCGTTGCTCTCCCTGTCCACCTCTCTTAAAAAGGACTGGGTCAAAACACCACAGTCAAAGCCGGAGGTGCAGGTCCATGTGTAAGAGCCAGAGCAATGGTGGAAACTCAGCTTATAGCGGAGGATTACCTGCAGATTTAAAAGGAAGAGGCACAAAATACATCAATTGCATGTAGCACAGAACAAATCATTTATATAAAAAAACATCTGCACACCGTGATCGTTCCATTTCCATTGTCCTTTGGGTAGTAGGTCATCACTGTGCCATAAAAATGTGTAGCTTGTGTGCTGCTGACCAGCAGCAGAAGCAGCACGGAGAGCAACATCCTGAGCGCGTCAGTCCCTCTGCTCAAAGCCTGTGACTCACCCGAGACACCAGAACTTATTCAAGAGGCAGCCTCCCCTTCCCTCCTCTTCTTTTTGTCTGCCACATACAAAGGACAGAGTGGTATGAGGAACCATCTAATGATAATAATCAGAAATGACACATGCTCAGGGGCAGTCCAACCAGTTTCCAAGATTTTCCTTGAGACAACTACAAAATTCGTTTATAAACAACAGAAGTCCTGTTCTGTATTTCTGTGTAATTTTAAGGCAGTGATTAGTGAGTCAGTGGGGTTGAATTTGTGTGCTTTTGCTCTTTTTAAAGCTATGCGTGACCCCTCAGGCTGTCTGTACTGAAAGGTTTTTACAATGGGAGACCCAGACTTCTCAGACAGGTGAACAGTGCTTGAATGGGAACTGACACAAAGAATTGAAATCACTGGTTTAGAGGCAGATGTTGGTGCTGTGACGTGATCAGCGCTAGCACATAAACAGTGTTTATGAGTTCAGTGAAGGACAGCAGCCCTGAACAGAGTAACAGATAAGATCATCCTGATCAAACAACGTTAGAACACAAACAGTGATGCATCCCTGGCTGCGATGCATAAACTTTACTTCTCCCGGATTTTCAAATAGTTATTAAAAGAAAGTGAGCTTTTCTACGTGTGGGTAGATCCAACGTTAAGTTTGATTCTAAAAAGAAATCTCAAGCAGCCGCCAGCCTGGGTGCTATTTTATGTGGGTGAGCCAGTGGGTTGGAGAGGGTTACTAAAAGGTAGTCGTGCCTTGTCAAACTCGTTAAACAGCTGTGAATACCAGTCATTTACCAGGTCAGTTTCCTGAACTTATGTAAAAGTCTTGAGATGATAAGAAAGGTTTCACCAAAACACATCATAACAGTGCTGCTGCTGGTCAAACCGCGGCGCTCCGGTCCTCAAATCCGGCAGGATGGGACCACAATCTGCAGTGGACGTCAAAGACAAACTCAAATCTTTGAAAAAACCTCTGAGTCTTCGTTTCTCTGTTATGCATAGTCAACGTTTATTACCCCTTATTCAAGCTGCTCGATGTGACCACAATATTCCTGAAAACCAGTACAATGTTTCAGCTTTACATAACAGCTCTGGTAATGAGAAAAAAAAATAGTGAAGAATGAAAGCAAATAACCAGCATTAGTAGAGTTGTTCTAGCATTAGACAACAATTCTAATAGCAGCATATCATTCACAGGACACTGAAAAAAGCAAAAAACATAAAACTGATCAAATTAACAAGTTTAAAAGTGCTGGAAAGGCTAAGAAATAAAGCCAATTCACAGTTCTGACGGCTCCATCCATCAGTCCTCTGCTCTTCTGAGGTTAGGACCCAACCTCAAGCTCCTTGTCCTTTGTGCTCCTCTGTGATCCCACGCTTAGAGCAAGTATACATAACCTTTCCATGGGCTTTCTCCCAATTGAAGCTTCAGGAAATAAATTTTCATAACATAAAAGCAAACGGAAAATGTGTCAAATCCACTGAAAACCTGGGCGAGCTTGTGATGCACTCAGATTTTAATTGATGATTCAAAGAAACAAATAAAGACAAATAAAACAATTAAACATTTTGGACCCACGTTTAAAGGCAGAAAAGGCCTGACCAGAACTATAGGTCAGGACCCCAACGCTGCCCCATCCTGCAAACACTTTAACATACACACAGCACTTATTTGTAAGGGAGCTGATATGATTTCACGTTTTGATTAATACGCAATGTTAGGAGAAATGAACCATAGCCCCTAACAGAGTGGAGGGTCTTCCTCTTGCTTTATGTATGGTTCAAGTACAGTTACAGTCTAGTCTCTGTATTCAGATAAATATAATCAAGTCTGAGCATTTGTCCACCCAGCTCCTGCTGCTCTTCGGTGGGCTTTGCCGTCCACTTCAACGGAGGTCAGAGCGAGCTCTGCGAATCGGGGAGTTCGCTTCCAAAAAAACTACTTTCCAAAAAGAAAACGGTGCCAAATAACCCGGAAACCGAGGCACCAGAACCTTAGAGCGGTGAGGACTACGGACTGGAGAGCGTGCAGTGGTGATAAATGTACGATTTACAAGACTCAAGTTGAGAGAAGGCAGTTTATGATGGCAGCTCATGGCTCATAAAGCGCAGGCTGATGTATCAGTGGAACACCCCGGTAAAAACAAAACAAAAAAAACAAGTTGTTCATGTTGATCCGTCAGACACAGAGCTCTGAGAGCTGTGTGCCAAGACTGTACCCTTCCGTTGGAGCTTCTGGTAATGTTTCTGTGAAAGACAGGGGGAAATAGTGAATAATGGAGAGGGAGAAACAGGTCAGGCCTGGCGCCTCTTCCTGGTGTGTGATGCGAGCGCGGTGCCTACCAGCAGCATGTCGTAGTGCCGCTGGCTGCTGCAGTGGGTCTCTTTGGCCGTGCTCTCGTTCAAGTAGAAAACCGAGCAGAGGTTGCAGAAGAACCCAGATTTAGGAACCACGAACTCCTGGCCTGAACGGGGAAACGAACAGACAAGTGTGAAAAAAGACAAAACAGAAACAAAGCGAAAGACGTGGCACAATCTCATGTCGATTTTGATTTATTCTTCTCAAAACAGGCTTTTCCCTCACCCAGAGGACTTTTAGGGTTGAAGGGGGGCAGTTTGAAGTCGGCCGCGACGCAGGGAGAATGAGGACGGGAGCGCTTTGCCTCGGGTCCCAGGGGCTCCTGTCTCCGCTTATCAGCAGCTAAATAGGAAGAGAGAAATCAATGATTAAAGCCTTTTCTTCCTGCCATTTGTTGTTTATTGGCGAGCAAATCTTCAAAGGTTTGTTCAATGTGAGACTTTTTCTCTTCATTTATCTTTATTGCAGACAGCACTGCACACATTCTACATGACCACATAACAATTGGGTGTTATCAGTCAGAGCTTTCTTTAGCTCTGCTTCCACACACAGGTCACTTCCACTTCCTTTAACGGTAAAGCACATTTTGGGCAGTTTGAGCACATCAAATCATGTTTCCAACACTTCACAGAGGAGAGGTTGGATGGATGGCGGCAGAGCAGTAACTAAATCCAGTCCCATCCACTTAAATGTTATTTTGGGTGTATCGTAAGACTTTACTGTACCTTTAACATCTGCTGTTTTACAGCCCTTCTTGCCGAGCCCGCCCTCACATCCCTCCTGTGTCTGGCGAACAGGATGCTCTGCAGAGGGGTTCGCCGCTTCCTCCTCTTTCCTCTGGTCAGTGTTTGACCGAGCAGGTGGCTCTTTCTCCAGAGTGGAGGGAGGATGAAGGGAATTCAGTGGCACAGATTGGTTTCCTTCTCTCCCCCTGGTGGATTTTCTCACTGGGGGAAAAGATACAGAGGTGAGTGTGGTGCTTCTGTGTGCTGGGGGGGGCGAACACATAGAGGGACGGGTTGGCCTCACCGGGAGTCTGTCTGCTTCTCTTCTTCGGCCTGCCTTTCGTCCCGACCGCTCCGTCCCTTTCCTCTTCGGTCTTTCCCACTTCGTCCACCGTCACAAGGCTCTTTTCTAAAACCACATTAAAAAAGATTTCAGACTCTGCGCTGAGGTGGCTGCTGTTCAGCCTGGGATCAAACTAGATGGAACACATCATCTGTAACTCATTAAGCAGCAACGTGCTGCACATTAGAAAAGGCGGGGCGGTAAAGACCTGTGTCGTCGTGTCTGCGTTTGGCAGGAGTTGGGCTTCGCTCTGCTCCCTCCCCGCCCACGTTTTTGTCCTCAGCTGCTGAACTCTGGAAACACACACACACACAGACGCGCGGCGTTAAGCATCTCTCAGGGGCCTCAGGGGGACTTTTCTCAGCTTCTATCTGCGTTGATCTTGGACACACCTTCGCTTTGGGGAGGTCCGCCGCTAGGCTCTCCGCTCCGGCCGGGAGCCGCTCCGGCGTTCCCTGCTCCGGCGTTCCCTGCTCCGGCGTTCCCTGCTCCGGCGTTCCCTGCTCCGGCGTTCCCTGCTCCGGCGTTCCCTCCTCGGCGTCCTCGACGATCTCATCCAGAGTGACCAGCTCCTGCAGCTCTGCCTCGGAAATCTCCCATCCCGGACCCTCAGCTGCCTCTTCCCCCGTGGCTTCGTCTGCTCCCACCTCGTCCAGCGTCACCAGCTCCTGGGAGTCCTCCTCCCCGGTCTCCGGCTCTCTCTGCTGGGGTTTCCTGGCCCTTGCTCCACTGCTCTGGGTCCGCTGCTCTCTCTTTGCGTCCACCCTCTCCCTGGCCCTCCTTTCCTCCTTCCTCCTCTCTTTGGCGGCCGTCTGTTTTCTCCTCAGCTCTTCCTCCTCGGCCGTGTCGTCGGGGTAGTCGTCCTCCTCCTCGCTCACTTGGTCCAGGTTGACCAGGGCGCTGTGCGTCGCTGTGTCCTGGCTTCTCCAGGCTGCCTCTGGCTTCTGCTCTGGTGCCGCCGCATCGCTCAGCCACTTCGCAGCTGGACTTTCCTCTTTCTTTGGCTCCGTTTTTGCTGCTCCAGATTCCTCTCCAGCGCAGGAGACGGCGAACTGAGGCAGACTCTTATCCTCCCAGTCTTCCCTCTGGGACTCTTTCCTAGCCGGGGAGTCTCCTGCCTCTGCAGCATCCTCGTCTTTCGTGACGACCCTCAGTCCTGCTTCTCCACTTTCGTCCTTGTCTGTGCTCAACTCCTCCAGCAGCTGATCGTCGTCCAGAGAATCTACGATGTGGTACACGGGCTCCTCTTCCTCCTCCTCATTTACGGCCGAGCCTGGTCTCTCGGTTTCGTGGTCCTCTTCGGGGACGGGTGGCTGGCTCTTCTCACTCTGGCCTTTTGGAGCTCTGCTGTCCACGGGCTCCTCCTCCACAGAGTCCAGTATGTGGTATACCGCTCCCTCTTCTTCGGCCCTTTTCCGGGAGGCGGCCTCCTTCTTCGCAGCAGCCGTTTGTTTCTTGGTGGCTTTCGACTCTTTCTTCGGCCTTACCCGCCTCGGGTTTTCCGCCGTGGCGGGGCGGTCCTCCTCCACGGCGTCTAATATCTGGTAAGCTGCCTCCTCCTCAGACGCGGCTCTGACAGCACAGTCACTTTTCTCTGTTTGAGCGGCTCCTACAGGAGGAGTTGTGTCTTCTACGGCTGTGGTTTTCTCATCGTTTTGTTCTGAATCTCTTGCAGACTTGCTCCTCCTTCCTACCGGGGTCTTATCTTTATTCGATTTCTCATTCTCTGCATCTTTCTTAGTTTTCTCCCTTCTTGCTCTGGTAGATCTCGTTGTGACTGTGGGTTTTTGGGCGTCGGGCTCGTCCTCCACAGAGTCTAAGATTCTGAACACAGCTTCTTCTTCTCTTTCGGGTACTTCGGGGGCCTCATGCTTTGCTGGGGTTTTATCCTCTTTGTTTCCTCGGGCAGTTCTTCTTCTACCGGACCTTTCCTCTTGAACAGCTTCTTCTTCCACAGAGTCCACCACCTCAAAGACCATCTCCTCCATCGGTTCCTCTTTTCCTGTTGTGCAGTCCTTCATTCCAGTCTTAGATTTCCCAGCTGACCAGTCCTGTTTCTTTTGGGATTTCTCCTTCTCCTCACTTCTTGATGCTCTGGTCCTCAGACCACTTCTCCTGTCTGCTCCCTCGTCTCTCTGAGCCAACGCGCTGTCTGTCTTTGTTTTGTCTACATTGCCGTCAGCCTCTGACTCTGTCTCTGTGTTTTTTGGCTGATCCTCCACAGAATCTAGGACCTGGTATGCATCTTCCTCTTCTGGGCAGTCAGAGTTCTGATCGCAGAGAGTTTCAGAATTCTGACTGTCGCTGCCTGCCATAGTCTGACCACCAGCTGAATCCACTGTCTCTGAGGCTGGCTGGCTATGTAAATCTCCGTTGTCTCGGTCTTCAGGGGGCTGCTTTTTGTCAGAGATTTCTTCCACTTCTGTGGTGGTTTTACAGGATTCCTCGGAAATCACTGCTTCTCCTCTAAGTGATGGTTTGTTGGGGGCCGTGCCTCCCTCAGACATCTGTGTTAACATAGAGTCTTCACTTGTGAGCAGATCACTGCCTTCATCACCTGTGGCCTCTCCGTCTTTATGGCTTTTTTGCACTTGGCTAGAAGCATCCCCCCTCATTTCAATGCACTGCTCTGAGCAGGCTTTGTCTTTGTCCTCAGTGCTATCCAAGATATGATGGTCTTTCTGGTGCGGCGTGTCAGGTCCAGGTGTCTGGGGGTCAGAGCTGCTGTCTTGGGTCTCTCTGTGGTCCATCTGTCCATGAACTTGATCATCAAGTGCATCGAGGATTTGGTAATTGTCACCATCATCTGCCTCCTCCTCAGCCTGTTTGCCATCCTCCCCCTCTTTGCTTCCTTTGACATTGCCTGTCTTCCCCTCTTTGAGCGTTTCATCCCTTAAATCTGTCGTCGGGCTTAGGCTTTGGCGATGGAACGGCTGTGCCTGTGCAGGTGGATCCATCTCTGATGAGGAGTCTATTTTTGCCTCTGACTCTGCAGTTTTCGCAGCATGGCTGTCCGCTGACCCCTGCTGGTCAGACTCTGTTGCTGCACCCTGTGCAGCTCCAGCGTCCACTTTCAGGCCCGTCCCTGCGGACGCCCTCACGGCCGCTGCGGAGGAGCGAGCGCGTCGACCGGCGGAGGACCTGGTCTTCGCTGGCTGAGCTTTCTTGACCGAGGAGATGGAAGCTTCAACGGACTGTGAAGCGGAGGAGAAAGAGGACTTCCTAACGTGTGCAGAGGGTTTGGTTTGGGATTTGGTGGATTCAGAGGAGTCGCTTCGCTTTTTTAGGGACACGGAGCCGGAAGCAGAGGAGGACCTGCTTGATGGAGGCTTTGACGAGGACACGCTCCTGGAGCTCTTTTGAGCAGGGGGTGTCCCGTCAGAAGCGTGCCTCACCTTAGTCTCACTGGAGGTCAGGATATGTGAAGGCGAGCCATCGTCAGCCGTGTCCTCCGTTTCCTCAGTGATTTCATCAACAGTGACGAAGTCTTCAAAGTTGAAGCTTTCCTCATCAAAATGGTCTAAAGAGAAATCGGCTGTGTCCGTGTCCAGAGCCTGGATGAAGAATAAAACTGCCTGTTAAAAAATATCTTTTTGATGGATTAAGTAGTGGAATGGTCACCTTTTCCTGTGGTGTGTCCTCATGCTCTGGACTTACTGAGTTTTTGATGTTTTCACTGGTGCCCTAAAGAAAAGAAGAGAGAAAGTATCGAGAAGGAAACTTGAACTCTAATGAACATCACAATGCACAAACTCTCCATGAAAGATGACATGCTTCATTTCTGTTCAGACGTCTACAGAATGATCAAATCTGGGTGAGATTGAGAGTCGGGCAATACCTCATTGACTTTGCTTTTCGCCGTGATCCCCTGAGTGAGTCTGTGCTCGCGTAAGGCTGTCGTGATTGCCCTGAAAATGTCCTCGTCGATTTGAGGAAATTCCACTAGGGTCTCCACCGACCTTCCAGGAATTTTGGACGGACGCTCAGAGCTTGACACAGGGAGGGCCGCTGCTGCTGCTGACCCCTCTTCCTCGACTTTTTCTTCATCCTGGTTTGTATTCGGAGTGTCGGTTGGGCGCGCAGCGGTTTCGGTTCCTGGTTTGTTGGCCTTCTCTGGTTCAGACAGGACCGACCCCGCAGATGTCGCTGGTACAGCCGAAGCAGCAGGAGTCTTTTGCAGAGCATGTTGCTCATTATCAGCGGGTTCCAAAGGAGTAGGCTGTGAACCAAAAAATAGGAAGGTGAGTTTGGATTGGATCAAGACACTGGAGACCACAGAAGAAATTTCAACTGGCTTTTAACCTCTCAATTCAAAGTTTCAAGAAGATAATCATCACTGAGCATTACAGTTTGGACACTACCTTCGTTTTTTCAGTGTTAAATAAAGAAAACAAAATTACGGGCTGAATTTGATTCACAATCACAAACTTTTTTACGAGGTATAACACATCACATAAATAGGAGGCCAAAGAGGGACAATCCATCCAGTTGTTTAGGGTGTGATCCGTCCAATTAGTGAAACATTTGGACATAAAAAATACAAACTAGTTTTATGACTGCAACACGAGGGTTAACACAACAAACAACCGAAGCATTTTGTTATTTTGTTTTCTTCGTGGGGATCGAGGTGAAGCCAAAAAATGACTGGCTTTCTGACAAAGTCTGAATTGAAAAGACTCACCGTGGATGGCAGGCTGGTTTCCATTGGGACGCAACCTGTTAAGGAGACATTTGGAGACAGTGAAACAGGGTAGCAAAGGGAAACTTGGACCGTCCTTAAGCTTTCAGACAGGTCTTACTGCTTTTATCAGGCTGCTTTTCTGGCTTCTGGCTGGCTGTTGGGGGGGTAGCGGCAGCAGCGAGGGTCACAGTCGGCTCGGTTTTGGCCACTTCGGGTGGGGGCGCAGTTGAAATTTCACTGGCAGCTTTTGACAAATCCTTCTGGGTCTTCAGAGCAGTCACAGGAACTTCAGAGGAGAAAATTAGACAAATTCAGTCACATCAAAAATTTCCTTTGAAACACTCACTATACTCACTATTTCTTTGTTAGAACCCTAAAAGTCTGCTTTTTAGTTGGACAAATAAAATAAAAAAGGCTCAGTGTAATGGCAGGGAACAGATGCTTTTAAAACATCCTAAAGTTTCAAAAACTGGTATAAAGCATGAAAGCAGACAGTTTAAGCTGCTTTTGCTTTTAATTCATGATATACAAATTATTCAGAGGCTCAAAAAAATCAATTTTAGGTTTCTTACAAACCAGTGAGGCCCTTAAAGATTAGCTGTATTTTCAGTTTCTCAGAACAGAGAAGTACATCTATACATAAGCCTGACATTCGGAGCTCTGCACCCCCACAACAACAGATGCTAATCGGCTGGTGCTCATGCATCCTCTCAGACGGACCTTTCTGCTTGGTTTGAGCCGCCTCCTGTCCCTCCTGTGGCTTTGCAGCAGCTTCCGCTGAGCTCTCTGCAGCCGGCTGAGGCTCTGAAGCTTTGGTCTGGGTCTCCAACTCTGCTGGCGCGGAATCTGAAGGTGGAATTCTGCTTTGCTGAGCATGTGAGGAAGGTTGAAGGGGGGGTTGCTGACTTGCGAGAGGGGCGTCTGCTGATTGGGCCTGATCGGCAGGGGGCTCTGTTGGTGCAGGTTTAACCATTTGGGTTGGAGTGTGACTATCACAGGCTTCAGTGGGTAACGGCTTTGCACCCATCGCCTCCTGTTCTTTGCTCTCAGGAGAACTTGTTTCCTGTATTTGAGGCGAGTCAGCATGAGGCTTAGGCTGAAAAACTGCCCCGGCTTCTGCCTGAGCCTCGATGGCTTTACTTGCATTTGTCAGATTTTGCTCTCTGGCCTCAGCAGAACTCTCAGTTTCCATGGGTTCTTCCATTTCCGCCTCTTTTGGTTCTGCTTCTTCGTCTTCTTTAATTTCTTTCACTTCAGCATCAGCTAACTCCACCTCTTGCGTCATCTCGGAGGGAGTTCCGCTTTCTTTCTCAGCAACTGTGCCCATGACTCCAGATGAAGGTTCTTCAGCTTTTTCTTCGGGTTTCTCTGCTGGCTGATGGGCTGTGACCGTGGAGTCCTTTGCCTCACTTTCTTCCATTTCTTCCTTCACTACTTTGGCTCCCGTGAGACTCTGTGATTCAGCCTTATGCTCGGGTGTGCTTTCTGCTTTGGGCGTGAGGTCTTCTGTGACCACGGCCGTCTCCTCGCCTTTACCCGGTGTAGAAACGCTCGGATTTGATGGTTTGACGTTGTCTTTGCCTTTAGCTTTAGGCGCCACACCGGGCCCTTTTTTCATGCCCTGCTCCGTTTGTTTAGAGTCACCACTTTCAAGCTTCTTCTGTGGGGTCTGTGACGTCTTGGCTCCTGGAAGCTCTGAAGCATCTTTTTTTACCTTTTTAACCGGTTTCGCTCCACCTTGAGCCGCCGCACTGTTAGCTTTCCCAGCTTTTGCTGTCTGTTTTGTTGGGGCCATCTTTGATTTGGAAACCAGGACCTTGGCTTTTGGCACAAGCTTTCCTGTCGTGGTTTTCTTGGGTGCGCCAGTTAAAGAAGAAGCATTGGCTTTTCCGGTGGGAGTGGATTTGGTGACTTGAGCCGTGGAGACGCTGGGCTTTAAAGACTTTCTGTAAAAGACCAGAATTGTTGACCTGGGTTAGATCAGGGAAAAAGAAGGAACCAAAAAAAGTTTTTTTTACAATGTCCCAAACTGGAACAAAGAGCTATCCTTCTATGAGGATATAACTGAATCGGCATGTTTTTAATCAGACCTTTATTTAAAATCAAGATGACATCCCCACAGTGAAAACTTTTACTTACTGCTGTGGAGGCTTCTTTTGCTCCTTTATGGGAGCTGGTGGAGGCTTCTTAGAGACGACATCCTGCATATAAAAAAACACGTTGGTTAAAAGGAATGGTCAAATATGTAAATCACTACAAACTATCACATATGTAGTGCGACTCACCTTTTCTCTGACGACGTGGATGGGCATTCCCTTCACCTCAAAGGTTTTTTTATTCCTCAGTTTGTCGGCGTCTTCCACTTTCTCAAAACACACCACTGCCTGCGTGTGAACAAACCCAAATCACACACAGCCACGGATGAGTACAGGCGTCAGACACGAAGCTTCAGGTGTTAGATGCTTCTCACCACAGTGTTTAGTTGCCACTGTCTTAAGCATGGCTTATCAGAATTCTACAGACTGAGACATTAATCTGAATTTCCGTGGGAAACGGGGACGCAGAGAAACACAAGCCTGACAAAACGATGGCGTGCAAAAGGGACGTACCTCCAGCTTGGACCGGAACAGCACCACTGATTTGGTTTTTCCAAAATTCTCCATGGCGGTGGACACGTCCTTGTGAGAGAGAGCACTCCAAATTCCCTTAAGCCTCACCATGGTTGGAGGGGAGGGTTTACCCAGCTGAGGAAACAGGGAAACAGCAGGACAGAGGAAGACTTTATTACTTTATCAGTGCTAAAACAGGAGATTTTGCTGGCTAATGACCCCAGGCCTACCTTAGACTGTGCTGCCGCACTGGTCCCGCTCTTCTGAAGGCTGGGCTTGGCTTTAAGGGTCTTAGCGGCTGTCTTTTTTGCCGCACTGGAAGCTGATGAAGATGGAGCAGCTGAGGCCGTGGACGACGATGAAGATGCCGTTTTCATCTTAGCCAGCTCGGCCAGTAAGGCGGGAGCCAGGGTTTTAACCACGGCCTCGAGGTTGGACTGTTTGGACAGATTCTGGACGGCTAACAGGACAGAGGAGGAGGAGGTGTATGTGAACGTATCAACGACATGTGGATTACCAGTTCTTCTCCTAAAAGTTTGGACCTGTGAGATTCCCCATTTTGTCACACCTGAGGTTTCCAGCAGCCTCTTGGCCAGTCTCTCCGTGCTGCCCGAGCGCTTTTGCTGACGCAGCGAGCTCTCCGCGGACGTTCGCCTCTCGTGGTTTCTCGCCGGCGGCGAGCGCCGCTCGCGGCTCCTCGTTGGTGAGGCCCGTTTCTCATCTCGCTTCCAGGAAAAGGGCCTTTTCTCGTGGCTCTTTGAGCGGGATCTAGGAAGGTAAGGGGGTGGGCGGTCATACCGTGGGGATGGGGAACGAGTCCAGGACCTGTTGAAATACTGACCGATCAATTAGGTTGCAGATCATTTCAAACAAGACTTTAAAGAGACAAGAAACGGTAAATACTCATGTTAATACAAAGATGAGTGTGTGTGGTGATGGTTGTGTGTCTGTGCGTGTTTTTCCGCAGACGAAAACTCCGCTATCACAGACCTGCGAGTGCGCCTTGAGCCGGGCGGAGAGTGCGATCTGCTGCGCCTCTCTCTTCTGCCCTCTGAGCCATAGTAGTGGCGCGGGCTGTTCGAGCGAGAGCGGCTACCGCGCTTCTCTCTTCGCCCCTCTGAGCCGTAGCCGTAGCTGTAGCGTGGACTGCGCGAGCGGCTTCTATGCCTTTCCCTCCAATCCTCGGGCCCGCGCTGGCGGCGTGGGCTGTGTGAGGGGGGGGGGGCTGTCGTGTCTGCTCTTCAGGTGGCGGTTCTGTGAGCCCGGGGCAGAGGCGGCGGGCGGGAGCTTGGCAGCTTTACCTGGAGCACTGAAAACAGCGGAGATTAAGAGAATCAGGAGAGAAAAAAGGGTCCCACGGAGACCAACTGGTAACTGTGAGTGTGATCCATCTGCTGGGGCAGTTCTATAAAGACAAGGAAAATTACCTCTGCAGCTGAGGGATCTCACCATCCCAATTGGGGTACCTGGAGGGTGGAAACCCGAAAACATCAATTTGAATAAAGTAAAGGGGTCAGATACTGGCAAAGCCATTCCTCCAGTTCCCCAGGTTCCTTTTTTTTTTTTTTTTAACTCTATAGAGTTTTAAAATCCAACGAGAGATCCAAAATAATCATTTAAACAAATATTTGAACTGGCACACCGGAAGCTCATGAGAGTTCAAATGACTCAAATCACCAAATTAGAATTCATTTTTATGTAAAACACAAATATTTAACTGTAATTTGGTAGAGGGTGGCAAAACTTTCCTGTAGGAAAAATAGTAATACTTTCACAGATCAAAGATGAATTGAAGGGCTTACCAAATCAGCCAGAGCCAAGTGGGAACCTTGGTGACTCAGCTAACAAAGCACCTATTTAAAACTGAAAAGTAAATGTCCCTGGTCTGTACAAATTGACCAAGTAAACAAACTAAAGTATACCTACTGCAGACGTAATAAAACTTTTTAAAAGTCTTACCGTGTACGGAGAAGTCTGCAGCTGTCAAGGTGAAGGTTTGAATTCTGGTGGGAGATCCAATCCTAATCATCATAGGAAACAAATAAGACATTTCAAAGTCCTCACTGACCATCACTGCAGCACACAACTCAGACAGCCATTTAAACTTTTTTTCAAAGATTGTTTCAAGCATGATAAATCACCAACAGTTTAAGATGAAACTTCCACAACTAGGATCTTATAATCCATGGGCGAGAACGGTTTAAAGGGAAAAAAAAAAAAGAATACAACATCCATTTCAGGACAAATAATGAATGATTTCCTCAGGTTTACAGATATATCGCTTGATTTCAATGGTAATTGTCCTTTATTTACAGAAAACAGAGTCAAATTGCTGCATTTCCAATGGAAAAAAGGGATGGAAAAAGGAGTCTTCTTTGACTGTGGAAGCAGCGCCGTCTGATTCTTCAGTCTTCTGGTGAATAAGACTTGGGATTGAGTGAAAGTCCAAACACTTGACCCGTGTCAGCTTCTGCCAGAGTCGCGAAGTGGTACAGGTTTATTTGGAAGCTGGAGGGACATGGCCAAAACACACTTCTGCTTCTCTCTGTAATCTGACTAATGTTTCAACAACGTAAGATAGAAAAGGTTACGCAAATTTAAAAAATTTAAAGCGGGGGGGCGGGTTGGCTAAATCTTCACAGGAAAAAAAAACATTGAGGCCAACATTACAAAAAGGGTTAGGTTTTAAACATTTTCAAGGTGAATTACTGTTAACCACAAAAATTACAAAAAAGACTCAAACAAAAAACAGCCATGTTCCATCATCCCCTGACGCACTTGCTCCACAGATTGAAAATTCTTCCTTGTGTGGCTCATCAAGTCCTTTTTGGTCAAATTACAAGGAAATTTCATACTTGAACCTTGAATTGCAAACACAACACCTGCAAAGGGTAACATACTATTCTGGTACACAACATTGGGATTGGGGCACAATAGTGTTTGCGAACATGGTTTTACAATCACTTCCAACTAGTCAAACACAAAATAACTACCAGCCAATAACAGTTTATCCATCCATCCATTATCGTTACTGCTTACTCCATAATGGGGTCGCGGGGAGAACTGGAGCCTATCCCGAAAATAAACCAGACTCAGAAGTATCCTTGCCAGAGCCTTTTTAAATTAAACCAATAAAAAAAAAGATATAGAGGTATTTTACAATAACAGAGGAAGAACTTCAAACAGGAAAACAGTGGGCTGTCGTTCACTCACCTTCATATTGGTGCACTCTCTGTTACAAAGCAAACAGGTATGAGGAAATACTTTTGGTGTGGCCGCAGCATAGTCCTGCAACATGGCCGCTGTTGGCATACAGGTGGAAACCCTCACATTTCCTGGATTATTCTTGTTAGAAGACGTTGCATGCGCCTTCTGGATAGAGGCTGGATGGTGCGACACTTGAGGAACGCCAGCGATCCCAGGGATGGCCGATGGCGCAGGAACCAGCGTTTGGGGGGGTAGAACTTGAGGCTTCAAAGCTTGTCGGGCTTGCATGGGCTGCTTCGGTTGCTGCTGCTGCCGCTGCTGTTGTGTCTGCTGCCTTTTCATCGTCTCAGAAACGGCGGGCACTTGTCCGTGGGTTTTGCTCTGAGCGTTGCAGGAACCGCCGTCGTTGCTGCCGATGAGAACGAGGCCAGGGCGGCCCGGGTGAACGCCGCGGTACAGAGGGCAGACGGGCTGGGCTTTTGAGGTGGCTGGCTCTGGGGCTTTTAAGGGAACAGATTTTGGGACTTTGGGAATGAGACATCTGGCATCTGTGTCCTTCTTGGGCAGAGAGAACGTTGTAAAGACTGACGACTGTGAAGCTTGATTCATCTGAGTATGAAGTCGATTTGCAGGACCGCTGCTTGGAGGGGCCACAGAGGTTCTTATTGTGCTAAAACTGGTGACAGAATTCATCTGCTTCAGTGAAGACGCTACGGTACTGCTTTTGATCTCTGTTGTAGTTCTTTGTGGTGGCTTGTTGTGGCTGCTGGCACTGAAAGTGTTCATCAGCAGTGTATTGCTGCTCCCACCACTGTTACCACTAGCAGGAATAGTCCTTCCAATCTCCTTTCCTACCCCCGCAGTATATTTTCCTGTATGGCCATAGTCAATCACTTTACTTGGTTTAAGAATAGCTGACGACATCTCATCTGGGTTCATTCCACTGAAGGTGGTGTTCAATCTGTCCTGACTTGAGGTGGGTTGAGGTTTGGAATAGGGTACCGGCTGAGACGTAGTTGCAGTTCTATTTGCCTTCTGAATGCGGATTTGCCTCAAGATAAAAGGCAGGTTATCAGGGGTTATCTGGTCTTCTGGGTATGAAATGAGATGTTCCAAGTCCTCTTTTTCAAGTCCAAAGTGCAAGAGGATGTTCGACGCCGATTCTGATGTATACTTGGGCCGCACAGACTCAGTAGGGGGTGTGGGTTTTTCAGGTTGGGATTCATCAAAGTCACCTAAACCTGGAATGGACGGCATGTTGTGTTGTCCTTCACCGGCGGTATTAAATCTTCCGTCAGCACCGCTCAAGTAGCCAGATGAAGAAGAAAATATATTTGAAGATTGATCCTCAGAGGACTTTTTGTAGATTGGCAACCAGTCCAAAGAGCTACCGCTACCGGCAACAGCAGAGTGTCTGTTTCCTTGAGAAGCTGAGGATGTCATATAGGAAGTCACTGCTGTGCTGGAGGAAGGGAACTCTTCTCTTTGAGAGTTGGTGAAGCGAGGGCCCTGGCCTACAGGCTGATGTCTAACTTCCTCCCTTGCTCTGCTGATATGCAAGTCTACAGACCTCTCCAATTCATCATCCACTTTGGCTCTACTTTCAGGTCTGTAGCTTGTTGGCCGAGCTAGAAGTGAAGTCACTTTTCCCCCGGTGTTCCCATGAGTCACAGACGAAGCTCCAGAAGAGGTAAAGCTAGATCCAGGTCCAAGGTGAGGCATTGTCAGTCGGGGGTCCCTCTCTGCAGGCCCACCAGAGAGTCCATATTGACCTTGCGCAGAACTCTGCTTCCCGGGGACATAGGGGTTGTACAGGGGATGGGACATGGTGTTGGCAATCTTCAGAAGGTTCAGGAGGTTGATGGCCACAGCAGTCGGTGAAGGTGCTGTGGTGGCTATGGGCGGAATAGGGGTGTTGGAGTTAGCCGTTAAGGTTGCAGCTTGGCCACCAATAGCAAGAGCACTGTTCATCTGAGCCAATGCAAGCTGGGCTTTCAGTTGAGCGAGCTGCAAAGATGCGGCATGCCCTCGAATCAGCAGCGCGTTCCCTGGAAGCCCTCCAAGGAGGGGGCTCGTTCGAGGCCCTGGGGCTGAAGAAGAAGTGCAATGCTCCGACAGCAAAGAAAAGCTGAAAAGTTCAAGAAAAACAACAACAACAACAAAGAAAATGGTTATTGAATGGGGATGGGCTTGTTGGAGGAGAGAAATCCATCAACTGGGAGATCTCTCTCCATTTCCCCACTGAGGTTCCTTATCAGCTACTCATTCCAACAACATAAATTCCAGGTCTTCACTAGCAAGAAAGAACAGAGGTAAAAACATGTAGGAGTGACAAAAAGACAGAAACAATGTCATAGAAGTTAACAAAGTATTTTCAGAAACAAATGAATTTATTGCCTGGGCTTAGCAGATAGAACACAATTATAAATGACCATGTCCTGACAACAGCATTCATTTAAATTGGGACTATTTCTATTCAACTTTATTTCCCTACAACTGCACATGGATACCTTGTCGTTGTTTTATAGTACTTAATGAATGTAAAATCTTATCGACATTGATTTACTGCTGTCAAAAACCTTTCTACAGCTTTTTCATCCTAAATAAATGGACTGACGTAACAGGATGAATTGTTGTTATTACTTGTTACAACTACTAATACTAACTACTAATAATACCACTAATAACTTCTTGGGCACAGTATTACGCCAACCGAGTGAATGCCAAAGTTTTAATTACAGCTTGTCTTGTCTGGTCAACATGACCTATCTAGTGGATGAAAAGGTTTGAACGAGGATCACAACATCAAAGAGTTAAAGAAAAAAAATGGTGTGCTCTTCTTCCTTTGGACTTTTTTGGGGTGATTTCTCCCATCTGCTTCTCAGGTCAGTCTCAGATATGCCTCTGGCATTTGGAAAGGTAACCCTAGAGTATGAGGAGGTCAGCACAGGAGCTGCTCCATCATCACTATGCTTCTGTCGCCACACATGGACTCCATCAAGGAGACTTTTCTCTTTTGCTGGGATGTACAAATGACAACAACAAGCCAACACAAGACATTCAAAATGTTGCTAAATGGCTGTGGATGAGCTCTGCTTCCATTCATTCCATCCAGTCCCAGTATGTGTTGGCCTTATTTATTTTGCCTGTTGAGTAAGGATGAGGAGATGCAGGACACACAGGTGCAAGCTGGTCAGGAGAGCTGGCATCGCAGTCAGCTGGAGCTGGACACTGGTTGTCAGTGGATGAGGGATGCACCCGGTTCAGACATCTTCCAGAGAAAGGAGAATGATGAAGAATCCTCACAGAGCTGACCCTCGGACACAGCTCACGGGCAGGGAGGGGAGTCCGAACCAGGACTTGATGTCGTTTTGTAACGGATATCAGAGGCTATATTAGCCCCGTTTGCACCGATGAGCTCAGCTTCCATGGCGATAGTAATCTCCACATCAACAATATATAGTATTTTAAAGTAATTAAATGCGAGGAGATCTGTTTTTCGGAGTTCTGTTGAACCGTTTTGTCATTGTGTTAACTTTCCGGGGTATATTATTAAACGAAAAGCAGAATAAAAGTACTCAGTTTTGTAATACGCGTACGCATACACAACCACAAACAGACGTGTGTGTGTGTGTGTGTGTATGCGAATGTAAACATAACATCAGGTAGAATTAAATCTCGCTAACGCTTTCCTCTCTGAGGCCTATTCCATTAAACACGGTCACAAATTAGCAAACACCAAGAACACCGAATTCGAATCAAACATCTTCTTTTTTTAAACTTTATAACGACGTTGTGTTACATACCACTCGTTACTCGTCAATATCCTGCGATTCTGATGTAATCATGGGTCTCCGTTTGATGAAAATATTGTTTTTGCCCCTAAGTGCTAGCATCTCTATGGTTATAAGTCAAGTCTTCGTAAAACGGATATGGCCATAGTACGACACTTCCGGTTTGGACACCTTCAGAATTAAAGTGCGACCTGACAGAGGATCAAAAACCATACACAAACTTTATCGTGCGGAAAAAAGGTATTTCGACGTTCTGTGCTAAATCGTCTGACCCAAACTGCGTTTTAAATAGAGAAATATATCAAATTAGACCTAGAACAACAAGACATATTATTCCCTGTCATAAATCCTTTTATAAAAAAAAGTTCAAACTGGCCAAATTGATTAACTGATCATCAGCAAATATGAGAACCCCAATAAAAGGGACCCAACTTTGCCAGTCCAATACAAGAGCACAAAAAGACACATAACTTGAACACTTGGATCTTAAACAGATCAAATATGTTTTTGGCTTTTACCTAACTTGATGTAGAATGCATTCAAGATAGTTAATAATATTTTAGAATAATTAAATTGTTTGATTTTCTAAAAATTAAAAACAGAAATAATTTCACACGTTCTTGTAAAAATTCCCTTCAATAAGTGTCCTACATTGATTGTACATGTCTTTATATCAGATAATGTTACTAAGACCTTAAAGAGAGAGTGACAAGCCCTCTGCCAAGAACTAAAGGTATAAATCATCAAAGATTTCTTTGAGTTTATAGTGCCATGCCCCCTTATGTTGCTAAGTTTGTCCTGTTTCTAAGTGCAGCAATTCTGCACAACGGATCACGCTCCAGTCCACTTCCAGATTCCTCAGATGGATTTAGCAACACGCAGCCACAGATGTCCTGTACTCAGAGCCAGCATCTTTCGATAATGAGCAGCTATTGACTTTACAGACTGTTGAGTCAACAGTTTATCAAAAGGTGATGATGAATGGTTTCATTAGAGGATCATTCTCTGTTATGTATTGAGCCAAATTATCAATATATCCCACTTTATCCCCTCCTCTGGACCACAGGGCTTAGCACCTGACCATGAATCCACAGCTGCCTGGCGGGACTCCGGCGGTGTGTGACTGGAAGGAGAGGCTGGGCCAAAAGAGGCTCAGTTTTATTTTCAGCTGTCACCGCTACCCTGGCGGAGTCTCATGGCGGTGACCTCACCAGAGAATGCACGCACACAGGCATATGTGGCGACATGTGCACGCAAAGACAAAAAGGTTTTGTGTGTTAACCGTTTAACACAAGTATTCCTGCCCAACAAAAGTTGTCTTTGCTAAATCCTTGCTAAATACCATAATTTATTTATTGTCAGCATTCCAAACATGGAACACCTGTCTTTATCTGCACTGGGATTAACTCTCCGGCAATGATGTATTTTCTTTTGCTGTATTTCATGTATGTATCATTCTATCTGCTTGTAAATAAATCCTTCTCCATATGAGTTACTGGGTGCCCTTTTTGCCTTCCCCATTTGAGGATGCAGATCATATCCAGAGTATATTCTATTTCTGGGACACTTTCTGCACAAGTAGCTGAAACAAAAACAAAAAAAGGCCTTCTTATTCGATTCTATTATTTTGGATATTTCTCACTTTAGTAAAAAAGAAAGAGCATTTGAAAAAAGTAACAGGTGGTTTGGTTGACAGTGGACCACAAACAAACTAGTGTGGAGCTGTGGGCAAAGGCTGCTAACATCATCTGTGTCCTGCAATGCATCTGCAGTATTTGTCTTCCATGCTCAACAGACAAGGTCAGATTTTCTTAATGATCTGAACATTTCTGACAATGAGTAATACAATCCTAGAGCGATGACAGTTCCTGACTGTTGCCAAGATGGACGAGGAATGTGAAATTGGTATCCGTCTACATTCTTTGTTTTTCTTTTACAGAAAAGCAGGCCTATTTTTTCTCTACATTCTCAACTCGAGAGAGGATGAGAGGTTGTTGAATTTGTCCCAAAGAAAATGTTTCCATTCAGATTTAATTCTGTTTAATAATTGACACGATGTTCTTGCACCATCACTCCTCATTTGAATTCACCATCATATGAGCTGGTTAAAAGCTAAAAGAAAAGAAAAAAGGAAACGAAGCACACATCATCTATCATTAGTTTTTTCAGCCATTGGAGCGCTACATTTTTCAGGACACCATTCTGCTCCACATCAGACGTTTCCCCTCAGCCTGCCAAATCAAAGGCGAGATTATGAAAGTTGACTTTCAGTCTTACAACGCTGCATGGACATTACTGTCAAAGGGAGCAGCGATGTCGTCAGATCCCTCATCATCGCTCCTTTCAGCTGTCCGTTCTCACCCTGCATGCCCCTCTTTTGACAGACAGTTCCCGAGTCATGAGATATGGGTGTGCAGTTACCTCAGCAGGTTTAGGGAGTCCCTGCCCCTCCGTGACATGCCAAACAACAGACAGAGGGGTTTAAAGTGTCACGCAGAGGGGTCCGCATGGTAACTGAGCCCACGCAAACCCCCCCACCGCTACATGTCGGGGCTGTAAATCTCTACGCATCTCAGGGATTTCATTGCTCTGAGGTTTTTGGCTGTAATGATGATCTAAAGATTTGAACGTCTGTTTTTTTTCCTGTTTAAATAGGCAGAAATATGCGTTTGTGTGGAAATCCTAATTGCCTGTGTCTGTTGTTTCTTTCGATTCTCTGTACCGTTGCTATTCTCTGAGGCCTAGTTAACAGACAGTCCATTAGGCGCTGATGAAAGGGAATCACTGCTGGCTCAGACGGAAATCTGCAATCACTCAGCACCGCGAGGCCTGGACATGCACGTCTTGACAGAGGGAAACAGATGATTTTGTCCTACTACTGAGTAGGCAGGGATGGGAAATGGTCTGTAGGGGTAATTTTGAAATGATTTATTGACACTTCATTGTTTCATATGTATGTCTTAGATTAATAAATTGTTGTGAGAACATTTTTTCAATAACAAATAAGCCTATTTACATATTTTAAAGAAATAGGGAAAATCATCATCACAATTGGGTATGAGACTTTAACTTGAGAGTCAAAGCCTCATCGAGAACAATTTGGAGCCCTAGATTTTACGACTTAAACATGACTCATTTCTTCTCCCAACATTGCACCTTTTAGAATTAAATTAAATACAAATGTCTGCATAAATAACTAAAACCCAATTACACCACAGATTGCATTTTTTAAGATCATATTTAATCTGTACAAACAGCCAAATAACTGAACATTTTAATAGAAAAAAACACAACTTACAAAGTTAAAGCTGGCTTGCTTGTATACAACTGAGAATAAGAGCATTTGAATATTTTTAAAATAGTACAGATCTATATTGTTGTGATAACAATGCAATATTTCTAGCATGTTATTAGTGCTTACACCTTTGTCATGTGTAGTGACACAAAAGCTTTAACATCTTTATGTTCTGCACACAATATTTCTCAGGGACATTTGGTTTTCTTTGTTGTTTTTGTAGTTCTGATGTCTGCCATACTGGCTTTGCTTTTGCGATATTTTGCAACCCTATTTTTTACAACCCTATTCACACAAACTCTAGATATTATATTTCTTGTGTTTGTTACAGTTCTTGAACTCCAAACCCTAACCCAAGTCAGTGGATTGAACTATTGGAGTAAATAAATCAAGATGAATTCCTGCTTCCTCTACAAAGAACTTTGTTGCATGGACGCCGGGCTCCAGCACCAGCTCTAACTCACTCTCTCTGCACTGGGTGTGCACTGGGATATAAAGTTTTGCCTTGTTCACACATCAGCGCTGCCAAATGAGTTTCTGCATGTCTTTGCCCTGGAAGGACTTTTCCAAAGAGTCAGCTTTCAGTTGCTTTGCACAGTGTTTTACATGGGGATGTGTTTATGTGAGGATTGGCCTCTGGTTTGTACTGTGGGTCTGGAGGAGGACCGGGTTGGTCAGCCCTTCCATCCCCGGCATGTCCTTTTCACGGGTTCAAGTATCCCTTGCATAAGACACTTGACTTTATATTCCCCTGGGGACTTTCTTCAAAGTGTTATAGGACATCACTTTGTGATCGGTCTGCAAACGAACGGAGGAGTGTGGCTTTCATTATTTAGACACAGGTCAGCACAATTTCAGATGTTCAGGTTTTGCATTAAATCTTTCGAAGCCTTGACTCTATTTTGCTTTCGCAGCCTTGGGGTATTCTTTCTAAAAGTGATAAAGAAGGTGTGGATCTGAGTTAGGACACTGCTCATGACTTCTATACTTCAAGATTGTAATGTCTGTAAGCCAAGAAACATCATGAAGCCTATGTACTTTTTATTAAGAGATTTTCCATTAATCAGGATGGGGATGTTAATTCTAGCTTATTCAATGCAAACACTGTAATGAATTAGCTATAAACAGCACTTTCATAGGTTTGATTTGGCCTACGGGATGCCTCTCTCTGAAATGTGTGTTCAGTTTGAGAACTGGACTCCTGTAATGTGAAATCTTATCAATTTCTCCTGTGTGACTTCATAAGGAGCTAGAATGAGATGAAGACTGGAAAATGACATTGATATGGCATCAGAGTGTGACCAGTTTGAGTTACATCATTGCATTACAGCTGAGACTTTT